CCGGCGGGCTTGCGGCAACCACGTGTGACGACCCCGGGCTGGACTTCGCTTCGTCCACGGTGAAAGCCGATCCGGTGATCCACAGCGCAAAGTTGTTGTATTTCCTCAGCGACCAGCACGGATCAGCTCTAGGCATGACGAAGCGGATATCGTCCTCTTTTGGAAGGCCAAACAAAGTAGTTTCGCTTTCACAACGAAGCACACAGCGTCTTCACGACATGGCGGCGGCAACAACAATACTACAGCGAGAATATAAGTTACGCCTTCTTTCTTTGCGTGAACGTTTGGGCGGCGTTATGCAAATCTTCCGAGATCGTGACGTAGGTATGTGGGGGTGTGTTAGAACGAGCCGTTTTAGGTAGGCGTGGCTGACTCTTAACTTTTATAAAGAATATCTCTTTGGATTTGAGACTTTAGTCTTTGCAACTTTACAGATCTTCTTTATGCACCAAGAGCTTGTAACACTCCAAAGAGAAAGGAAAAATTGAAATCGCATCATATGACCCCTTTAAATTAATTTTTTTTTTATATTCTGCAGATACCCTGTAAATAGTGAAATAAAATTCCTTTCTTCATATTTGTTGATATTTGTGTATTGAAAATATTTTTGATTGACATTTAAACTCCTATCTGATTTTCTATATATTTTTTTTAAAAAGTATTTTTTTATTTGGGCTAGTTAAAGCTGCAGTCCGTAACTTTTTTGTGTTCAAAATTTACAAAATTTATATAATAAGCGAGTACACCATGAATCCATTTTCCAAACCGTGTTTTTGGCTTGTCCTGAACAAGGTTATTTTCATAAACAAAAACTAAAACTAAGACTAAAACGATTGATGATACACCTATAAGTGTTTATATTCGGACTATTTAGACTGGTTCGGGTAGGTACCGCTGCGGAGTAGCCCAGTACCTGCGTAATTCACCATAGACATAAACAGAGAGAAGTAGCTCCGGCTACAATGTTCTTCCGCAAGACGCACGCAGTTCTGTTTATAAACCGCTAGAGCGCCAAAAGTTACGGACTGCAGCTTTAAATTAATTTTCGGGCTACCAAAATCTGAAGAGTACCTGCCCGAAGGGCAACCAGGGATTTTTAAATTTTGCAAGCCCTGGATTTAAAGCAAATTCATGTGCAACAATTCACGCTGTGAACGCAATTATTTAGTGTATGGCTCAACCAACGGCACATGTTTGGGGGTGGGGCGATCTGTTTTGGCCAATGGCAGCTGGAAAGTGTTTGGGAAACATGTTTGAAAACAGTCATTTTTTCATTTCCATTTGGTGGTGCAAAAATTACACACTTAGCCTTTAACGACAGTTGTTAAAATTTCATGTCCATATTTCTTCATGACTTAAATAAACTAGTCTAGATTGTTCTTTATGTACTCAATAAATAAGTCACAGATTAGTCCCGACACAAACTCCCAAGAGCAAGACATTAACAACAAAAAGTTACTGATGAAGCCAATCAAAAGAGTGGCAGAACATTTTAAAATTGTTAGAAATAACTACAGCTGTGAACGAATTAACTTTGCGAAAATTGTGAAGATTTGCTCAGACTCACAGAAAGAAGTGTTTCAGCAGCCATTAAGCCCAATTTATACTTCTGCGTCGAACCTACGCTGTAGCCTACGTATAGACGCACACCCTACGCCGTAGCCTGACGTGCACCTCTCCAAAATTCTAACAGAGCGCCAATTCTACGCAGACCGCAAGCGCTGTGATTGGTCTGCTAGAACCCCTCCCTCCATATGTACTTGAGTTTTGTTTGTGTTTGTGCACTTTAATATATTTTAATGTTACACCTTTTTATATAAAATAAAACAAAGCAAAGAACAAGTGTCTTATCATTTATTATACTACATAGCATTATACATCAGTAGTTGTCCGCGACAAACAATGTTGATCTGCCGTGGTACAAGTCCTTGTGCAGATTGAAAGAATGCCATCATCTCCTGTTCCGTTGTTGTCTCCTTTTTGTGGTTTTAAATAATGATTTAATGATTTGATATTTATTTGCCGCCGTCACGGCTATAATGCTTCTCCGACGAGTCGCTTCTTCTTCGGGTTTTGCCGTGGTACTGCGGGTTACACCAGCAACATGCCCGTGGACACTGCAGACTAGCAGTTTGCATATGTACTGCACGTCGATGTGGACAACGACAAAGAAGTATAAATGAAAACTGACACATAGCCTACGGCGTAGGTCCGACGCAGAAGTATAAATCAGCCTTTACTTCAGTCTTCCATGTCACATGATCCTACAGAAATCATTATGATTTTGTGCTCAAGAAACATTTCTTATTATTATCAATGTTGAGAAAATTGTGCTGCTTATTATTTTTGTGGAAACTGTCCCATTTGATCAACTTAGTGTGCCATTGCTGAATACAATTATGAAATTCTTTCCAAAAAAAAAATCAAACCCACCCAAACTTTTGAAGAGTAGTGTATATCATCATTGATGTATTAGACTGCAGACAAGAAGATTCATTTCTATGGCATGTAGACGGATGATAAACACGGGGTCAAGATGTTTAGTGAGTACAGGGGTGAGGAGGTGGGGTTAGAGACAGAGATATGGTCTGTGAGCTGCTTCGTGTTCAAACATGACGGGTACACCAATATGTGCAAAAACTGAATAAGACAGAACTTACTCATACAGGCAGACAGGACAAATAACACAAACATCAAGAGGCTGTAAAATGGGTAATAATATTAAACAGTAACTTAGCTGCTATGCTGAAAAGAAGCTAGATGCTTAAAACCAAAAGCCTCTTGAGGGTTCTGGAACAACCAAAGACTTCCGGTGTGAAAACAGAAAGATGCAGTACTTCCGATTGTGGTTTCACTACCTAAACCAAAACAAAACCACTTCGCTTGTATCTCAAGAGGATATTGCAATTTATGTCAAATTTGATGTAACACATAATTTAGAGAAATACTTTACAAAACAAATCCTTGTCTACTTTCGAGAAGGTTACCCAACAAAAAACAAGCGGTTATAACCTGATTTGCTATTTAAGGTGGTCTCCCAGCCTGGCCAAGCTGGTCCCCCAGAATGACAAACTGAAAGTCCCAGAATCCATGTGAAACCAGCCTGACTAGGCTGGGACACCAACAATCCAGCTTAGGCTGGTTTAAGATGTTGTTTTCTTTAGGATAGAACTTTGTGACCTAGTCTTGGACTAAATATTTCCTTAATGCATTCTGCATACGCATTAAACTGTGTCATGTGAATGATTAACCAGGGCTGGTAGATCCTGCTATCAGAAAAACAGTAAGATATGTATCATTCTCTATTATATGTATGATATACAATCCTGTATACGTCATCATCAGATAGCTCTCGATTATTTTCCTGTATATACCTCATTACATCTTAATTAACATAAAAGCAATCTAATATTTGATTAAAATGAATATAATATTCCATAAGCTAGTTCAAGACAAGGTAATTGTGTCATCAATCTTTCTGGAATAGCTTTGCTAACTTAGCAACCAAATACTAGACGAGTCGATCAGGCTACCGATTAATCCCGTTTCGTAGCTAAATCTAACCGAAATAACCACAATCGTGTCTGCCGATATCTTTTACATGAATAATGGCCTTATAACGTTAAATGCTGTGGTATTAAATTGTCTTTCACCACATCAATCTATCACACCATGCTAGCTAGTTAGCAGGGAGTTAAGAGAGTGCCACGCCAGGTCATTGTTTACATTGCTGACTACCTTTGATTCTCAGATCCGTCTGATATTTAATATAATATTGACTGTCTGGCTAACAGATAGCCTTGTGTTTGAAAATAACAGCATTTTATTTATATTCGATGGGTACGTTAACAGTTCATTTAGAAGTGGCATAAAGGGGACTGACACTCTGAATTTACATCATTTTTATGACTGCCTCTAACTCAAGATAATAGTATTGAAAATAATACTAAAGATGATAATGGACTTTTTCATAGGGGGGTTTGTGGATAAAAACTGTTTATCTGTGAGTATTACATTTTTTATGCATGAGGTGGCCTGCACAATACTCCAGCTAACCTTATTTCTAGCTACAAGCTCTTTATCAATAAGTTGCACGATTGACCCAAATATATTTAGCATAATGATCTCTATTATCCCTTACTGGCTAAGCTGATGAAATCTATAAGAAGTGAAAGTGATTTCTGTAAATATCTATCTGAAATCTTTAACCAACGAGCACCAATGGCTCGCACGAGCTAACGACACAACCAACTGAAATTTCTCCAGCTAGGGCTGTTATAAACCACATTTTCAACCTAATGCAAGTTGTCAGACCAGCATAGTAATGATTTTTGCACTTAATGCATTATATGGTACAAAATCGACTGCAAATGTCCAGGGCGATCCAGCTTCCCCACCCACCCTATAGGAGCCAGTGCACAAACAATGTCCCACAGCCGCGCGGAGCCTCGCGCCATTCAATCAGAGCAGCTTCGCTTACCAGATTTGAAGAACGTAGCTATATCGGCCGCGTCCTTAGCCGCCTCCTCGGCCCCTTCCCCCGAGCTCATGGCTGTGGCGAAAAACACACAAAAAAAACTAATATCCAAATCCTAAAGTTGTTCTTTATTTCCCCCACAGGCAGAAGGATTTAGAAAAGGCCTCCGCCCCTGTGTCTGAGGAATGATCTGACACGGACGGAAAAAGGATCACTTCTGAGAGCTGGGGAACATCACAAAACCTCCTCCATCTTGGAGCACACAAATTAATAGCGCCGGCCGGCGGCTCTCCCAAGCGTAGCTGAGACGGAAAGTCAGAAAAGACGACAGGGGGCGGGAGTTTGCTTCCGAAAAAGCCTCTTTCCAGCCTTCTTCTTCTTCTTTTGATTTAATGGCGAGTTGCGAACCCTCTTTCCAGCCTTTTCCCTTTCCAGTGACCTTAACTGGGTCCTCATGCGCCCCATAATGATTTTTTAGGTACAATATGATGGATTTTGAAACATCCAATTTCCCTTGACACTCCAGAGCCTTCAGAGCCTCTTTATGATAGGTCCTATATTTATTATAAAGTACAAATTGATGTACCAAAGATGTCTTCTCGGAATTGATTATCTCTCTCAAACCTAAGATAAAAGTTTTTATTGTAACCCCATTTCTGCTGTATTATTTAAACATAATAATGAGGTGACTCAAGCCCCAATATTTTGTTAAAATTATTGAACACTCAAATTTTACTCTCATATTTTCTTCAGGTCATTTCTGCCCCAATTTTAATAAAACTTCCTTGTAGTTTTCTCAACAACAAAAAAACGAGAGGGGGTTCAATCTTCAACTGGCTGGCAGGAGCCGCCACTGACAGGTCATATGACCTGCCAGTGGCTGGTGGCAGCTGCCAGTCTGATTCTGGCAGGTCACGTGACCTGCCAGTGGCTGGCTGGCAGCTTCAGGCAGCCGCTGTAGATCTGCGAGTAGAACGCCTACCCTATCACTCTCCCTGCAAGGAAATACACTATTTTATTATGAATATATTTTTATGACTCTGTTTTTTTGGATGATTGACCGGCGGCTCCTGCCAGCCAGTTGAAGATTGAACCCCTACTGGGGAAAACACTACATGGCAACAAAAAACACTACAACACTTCCTAAACACCTATAGCAACTCAACAAAAAAAAAAAAAATTTTTTTTTTTTTAGGGTGAACAGATTTTCACAATTTTTAAGTACACAGTCTGTTTAACTGCAAGTGAATGAAATAATACATTAATTGTTATAAAACATGATATATTATGAAATGCTAAAGTTAAAGGGATAGTTCACCCAAAAATGAAAATTCTGTCATTAATTACTCACCCTCATGTCGTTTCAAACCCGTAAGACCTTTGTTCATCTTCGCAACACAAATTAAGATATTTTGATGGAAACTGAGAGCTGTCTGACCCTGCATAGACAGCAATACAACTGAACTGACACAGAACAGCATACGCCGTTTACGTCGTTTACGTCCAGCTGATACTCTCCAAAATGGCACTACAGGGTGATGCGGAGGAGACAAATTGTTGAATTAAGTCTTTTTTTTTCTTTCTTTTGCGCACAAAAACTATTCTTGTAGCTTTGTAAAATTACGGTTGAACCCCTGATGTCACATGGATTATTTTACAGATCTCCTTGCTACGTTTCTGGACTTGGGAACATTTCAGTTGCGTTGCTGTCTATGCAGGGTCAGACAGCTCTCCGATTCCAGGAACATTTCAGTTGCGTTGCTGTCTATGCAGGGTCAGACAGCTCTCAGATTCCATCAAAAATGTCTTCATTTGTTTTCCGAAGATGAACGAAGGTGTTACGTGTTTGAAACGACATGAGGGTGAGTAATTAATGACAGAATTTTCATTTTTGGGTGAACTAACCCTTTAATTGAAATTATCCAGGAAAAGTTTTTTTTTTTAAATCATGATATACATTAAGACCTGAAAATATAGGTTATATATATATAATTTCTTTAGGAATCTTTAGACCTGTATCCAATTTTTATTCGCTTTTAATGCAGGTCAAATCTAACTCAAAAATCAGTTTCTTAGCTCAATATAAGTTTGCCTATGCTGTTATGCATACATGCTTTAAAATTCCTCTGTTGTTGTTGTTTTTTATTTTATAATTTTATCAATCTTTTTGAAATTAAATTGTAAAAGAGATGTAGAGCATAAAGTGTTTGTGTTTGTCAGTGGAATTACTGTATTGCATTTTTCACTGTTTCTCTGGGAAATGCCATGAAGCCTTCACTTATTGCATCACACCGACATCTGGTGGGGAAAACTGTATGTGCACCAATTGGGTAGCATTCAGATAACCAATGTGTGCTGCATTTTAACAGAATGCTGTTTCTAGCTCATCTATATAAAAATCAGTCAAAATATGAAAAATCTGTCATCTGTTTTGTCCCAAACCTGTATGAATGTCTTCAGTGGACCACAAAAGAATATGAAAAACACTAACAGAATGAGTCTCGGTCACCATTCACTTTCATTATATGCTTTTTATTGTGAATGGTGACTGAGGTTGTTAGTCGCTTAAATTGTACATAATATTTAATTTCATGTTCCACAGAAAAAAAGAAAGTCATACAGGTTGGGAACAACACAATTTTGATTTTTGACGAACTATTTGTCACCCATCCACTAGGTGGTACGAACATTTTTTGCAGCAAAGAGAATTGTACCACAGAAGAAGTCGAGGACCAAGGAAGCGGCCTAACGGGGGGGGGAAATTGCATTACACCACTTTTGTTTCTTTAACGTCGATTTTTTTTTTTACTTTTCAAGAAGAAACTGAAAAGAAGAAGAATACTTTTAAGAAAATAGTTTCGTATTGAGTGCATTAAAAGCGCAGATCACTAATTCGCTAATCTTGTGCTAATTCTTGCGGGCGAGGCTTTATAGTAACGTTAGGTGCGTCGCAAATATTAATTATTACCTAGATGTATTTAATATGCTAAGTGTAATACGTTTACTTGATTCATGTTTTCTTTACTGCATTTATTTTGCATGGCTTGACAAAGAACATACTGTGAGAATAGCACTCAATAACACAACACTGTGTCTTCTGTTAGTTTCGAAAGATGGCCGATTTACTGACTGTGTACGACGACGAGCAGACCAACAGCTTCATTGACTGCACGGTAAATCTGTCTTAAAAAAACCCGAGTGCACAAGAACAGTTATTAATGTTGATCCTGTTTATTAAAACCTCATGTAAATGCATTGACCTAACTCTGTGGGACTTAATATTGATAAATGTTGTTCCTCAGATCTGCGATAAAAGAATACGGGGAGAAACTCATTACAAAATCCACGTGACCACATTACAACATTTGAAGGTAAGGAGAGAAAAACCAGTGTTGTGACTGAAGGAGTACAAATAATAATTTATAATAACTGAGCACCAAATCAGCATATTCAAATGATTTTTTAAAGAATCATGTAACAGGCTGCTGAAAATTCAGCTCTGCCATCACAGGAATACATTTCGATTTAAAATACAGCAAATAGAAACGATTCTTTTAAATTGTAGTATTTTTTTCACAATATGTTTCATTGTATTTATAATCAAATAAATGCATTCTTGGTGAGCATAAAAGATTTTTAACAACATTGAAAATATTTTATTTTTCCAAACTTTTGACTGGTAGTACATATATAATTTAGTATTTCTGTGTTTTGAAGTATACTTTATAATATATTTTAAGTGGTTTCAGATTATAATACTTCAATGTGTTGTTTTACTCACTTTTCTGCTTCATTCAACTTTAGGATTTCTAAGGAATAGAGATCAACCAGCGAACAACATTTTGTCTGTTCATTTCTTGTCTTAGACACTGTATACACAGGTTATATGACCTTGTATACGGGTTATGTCGGCATTTCTTTACCTGTCCAAAAAACTACTCATTCTAATGCTTTTAAAGCAAATTAGGAGGAGTTGTGTGGACACTGGAGTGTTTTGGACCGTTTGATTACAATTGTTTTTCTAGTCCAATTACATTTAATCTTGAGGACCAAATACACGTTCATCATTTTAGAGGTTTATCTTTTTGCTTTAACAAGGGTTTCGATCCCAAAACCCTTGTTTGGATCTGTCATGGAACCCTTGTCATGGATCTTCAATCTCCAGAACAGATGGACCTGCTTGAAACAACATGTATACAAACTTCTGTCTATTTGAGAAGATTCGAGAGCATTCCATTGTTGGTTTGTTTGTTTTTTAGTCTGAGGGCCTCCTCACACTACTCAAATAGTTGTCATCTGCACTAAAATGTGCTGTAGTTTGAGAGCTTATAGCCATTATGGCTGTTGTTGGTGCAGCAAGATGATGTGCTTCTTCACAAGACTGCTAAAGGATGATTGGATGCTGCGTGCTAAAATGGCAACAGTTGTCAAAATCTGCCAGTTCCAGTCTGACTGGCTGGCCACAATGTTTCCAGGAGTCGGACTGCACAGCTTTTCTTTGAAAGTTTCTCAGCTGTTCCTTGTTGCTTTGATTTTTTCAAAGCTTGTGAGATTCTTGGCATTGAATCTTTGGAAGATACTTGAGTGTCACTCCTCAAGCACAATCATATATTCAGCTTGATTTCAGATTTGTGCATTGGAAATAGTTCATACTTATGTTTGGTCAAATGGGAATTCTGACCATACAAATCTTACCATGTTATTTCTGTTTTGTGGAGACTGCTGTGCCATTATAGCTACTGGCTGCAAAGGGCTGGACAGTAAATAATCCATATTTATTTCTGACTGGACTCTGAACTTTCTCATTCAGATTTTTTTTTTAGCTTACGGTTCTGTCATGGCATGTTACTTTTGTGAAATGCCTCATTATTCATCTTATTTCCTCTCATGAACAAGTGAAACCCAACCTTGTAGTTTTTTTTTCTGGAAAATTTGGGATTCATTTTCCCACACACAATGCTTCCTTCATCATAACTGTACTTGCGGTTCTTCAAACTTGACCTTTTTGTCCAGAATGACGCACAATATGGTTTCCACAGAGCACCTGGGGTAAAGTGCCTTAATCAAGAGCCCAATGCTAAAAGAAGGTCTCCCCCTATTGGGGTTTGGACCATCTACCATCACAACACTCTTTGTTGCTTGTGTGTTATTAACCTCTGTTTACTTTATTTCAGCATTGCAAGTAGGTCCTACGAAGTGCACATAAGTAAAATGTATAATCACCTGTGCCTGTTTTTCCTCCACTGTTTATCTCTTCAAAGAAAGAGGACACCCTAGCTTCACAAGGTAAGTAGTAAAAGTCACAACTTTATCCAGAATTACTTCTAATGTCTAGGCATCTCACGG